TCATTAAAAAAATAAAACCACACCGATTTAGTTACTGTTGCATGGGAGGGAGGTGCAGAGGAGATGAGAAAAGTAGGGATAAAGATCTAAGTACCAGTAGACATTTTTAATTGCGTTATGTGGATAGCTATTTTGTAACTTTTTAAAAAACTTGTTGGATTATTAGGGTTCATGATGCTAGGATAAGCAGATGTTTGACTATAAATGAGAATATCCTACCCAAACAATCTTAGTCAGTGTAGATAAGACTCAGACGTGTTACAGCTCCTGAAAGTGAACTATGATCAACTTTTTTGCTATCTTGTATGTTTGCTCTTTTTGGCTTACCTTCCAAGACAGTTCAGCAAGCTGTGTTTCAAACTGTACTGCCTTTCTCATCAGCTCTCTTTAGATTCTCCTCTCTTCACTGCTACTTCATCATTTTGTGGACCTTGCTTGGCATTTCCCCCCCCCCCTCAAATATTGTTCTATGTCATCCATTATTCTTCCACAATAGGCTTCGGTCTACTACTGTGTTTAGTGAAAACTATTTGCTGCTTTTTCCTCATCAGCTTACATTGTTTTTTCTTTAAAAAGAAATCCAAAATCCAGCACACCCTTCAAACATATCTATTCTGATTCTTTTACTTAAAACAATGCTGACTGCTCTCAGTTACACTGTTGGGTATCAAAATATTCTCCTTGTGTGTTTCCAGACTATTTCCAAATGTACTATATCCATCTTTAGGGGTGTTTTTGAGATAAGGTACCAGAATATCGCTTTGAGCACAGATTCAGCATCACTAGCAGACAGACTCCTGCCAGCTCAGCTGCGTCTGTCACTGGTTATGTTTTCTCATATCCTTAACAGAGCCTGCAACAGAGTGCTGTTGGAAGCTTACATTACGGACTTCTGCTAAGTATCGAATATAATCTCAGTTCTTTTCATGATGAGTAATCTTTTACAGATGTTGTTTTGCAAAGGGAGATTTGATGCGTCTACCACATCTCTAATTCTTTGCCAAGAAGATACCTACTCAATGGAAAAATGGTCCCATGTGATCATTGCATATATTTTATATTAATGTATCTAATAAACAAGTACTGTGGTAGAATCATTTCAAGTGTGCAAACACAATTCACTAAGCACCTGACAAACTTTCGGTGTTTATTATCTGGTCAGTTCTGGAAGACAGAGGGAGTGGAGGATGCGTGAAACAAACTCAGGCCATGGCAGCCAAAATCTCTACTGAAAATTGACTCGGGCATTGCAAGAGGAAGTTAGAAGTGAAGTACACATGAAGTATATGAAAGTTCATAGTTAAGTTGGTCTCCAGATGGCAGAGGTATATGAGGTAAAAATCCCCAAAGTGAAGAACAGCTTTCTGAAATGAGATTTTGAGCTCGAGATGCAGAAAGACACAGACTGCCCAAGCCCAGGTCACTGCTAACACAGCCAGGATGCGCTCCTGAACCTGGGACGCACCCAGATTTCCACAGTGTGCTTGTTAGCTGCTCTTATCAAATGGCTCTTGCAGCACATTGGGAATCCCTTTTCCTGAGAACTATTTTTAGGAAGGATCATCCATACTAACAGTATTTGTCACAGAAAGAAATGGCTGTTTAGTTTCGGTATCACAAACTTCGTTCTTGTATCATCAGTGGCTAAGGAATATTCAGTCAAAGTTTTTCAAAAGTAGACACAGGGATATGACAGCAGGGCAAGATCTTTCTTGTTTATGGAAGAGGGAGAGCTTGATGGTGATTCCCCCTCCTTCCCTGCAGATCTCCCTTCCATCCTGCAGAGTTTCACCTGCCTGAGGTGACCTCACCGCATCATAAATGCCTCTGCTGGTCTCTTGCTTTGCACGGGCAAGAGCAGCAGCGCTCTCTATCTCCAGACTATTTAATGTACATTCCTGCATGATGTGCAGTTAGTCAGAGTTGGGATTTTCTTTTTAATGTACAAATTAACAAGTCAATACACATTAAGCCATGCATTTGTTTGCCTCTACGTTTTCATTCATTTTTAGCTTCTGATCTTTTTGGACTTGTCTGATGCTCCCCGGTGCCCAGAGGTGTTAGGTTAGGCTACCTGGACCTGGTTAGACGCAGTCCCTGATGCACAAAGTTCAAAGAAGGGAAGAGAGAGGTTCCAAACATTTGACTGCAGGAAAGGCAGGGTGCTGAGGAGCTGGGATAATCCCACATCCCCTGCTGAAGGAGATAACAGAGGGCCTGCAAAGCCCTTACCAGCCCTCAAGGTAGATCAGCCTCTGTAGTTGTTCTGCTAAGTTAGGAGTGGAGAACCAAAAGGGCTGTAAACAAGTAACATTTAAAGCAAACACCAACCCAAACCATAAAAAAAAAATATTTGGTGCATGTATTTACCAGCACATGAGTCTTAAGTCCTGACCTACATGAGAAAATAAATGCATTATTAGAGTTACAAAGCATCCTCAACCTGGAAACATTCCAGTCATTGATGAGAAAAATGTACAGTTCCAGGACAAAAAGTAACATGATTTTTTGGCTTGAAAATATGAAAACTATCACCTCTGGGGAAAAATAATCCAAAACAAAGACATTCACATGGAGCTCAGAGAAAAGCATCAAAGGGACCGGGGTTCTGGAGGGACAAATGTTTGAGGAAAGATTATGAAAGCTAAATATGAATATTTGGCTAAGCACCAATTTAATAAGGGATCAAGAGATAAATCTACAACTATTTAATTCAGAGAATGTTAATGTTATTGGTGAAGCACACTTCTTTTTTTTTTTATAGCACCGAGAAGATGATACACACCAAAATTTTGGAGAGTAACATGAAGACACTGATTTCTTAAAAAACCCATAGAAACATTACAGCCAGTTCTTAATCAAATCTGATCTGAATCAGACCTTGGAGTCTTGAGCAATTAAACTACAACACAGGGGAGAAAAAAAATGTGGAGTCTTGCTTGTGATTTCTGTGTTAGATTCTCCCAGAAATTTCTACTCCTGGTTGGGGTTTTTTTTGGTATTAGAAGTTTCACACCACATAATGACATGCACCAGAAAGGCACGTTAAACCTTGGCTGAGAAGAACGTGAGGGCAAACCTGACAAGGGAGAACCCCATTATCTACTTTTCAACCAACGATGCCTTCAAAACACTGTTATCATTAAACTGAATTTCTGATACTGCTGCACTGTCCCCATCGGACTAAATCCTGGTGGAGATCAGGGGAATAAAGTCAGTAGCTCAAGTTGGGCTTTGAAGGCAGCTGAGCTCAGTAATAGCACTAATAGCAGCAGTTATGTGAAAGATGAAATGTGGTATCATGATGAATCCTTGTCCGTGCAAGGAACCAGACTGAGCAATATGTAAGAGTCATTATTCATACCAGCCTGTGATGACAAGACAACTAATGGTAGTTTAAATTACTGAGACAAGGAAGGCTCTGATTATTAAATTAACGTACAGCTTTATGAAATGGAAGATAGTCTAATTTTTTTAATGTTGGTTACTTTTATCTCCAACTTTGCAATACCTGATAATAAGTGAAGAATTTTAGAGCCTTTCAAGAAACTGATTCTCATGTGAATATGAGCTTCTTATTTAATATTCCTTTTTTTTTTCCCAAAACCACTTATTCATGCTATCATAATCAAAGACACTTGCTGCAATAACAACTTTTCAGAATAAATTTTCACTGAACAAAGCCTCTGTACTGCAATTAATTCATATTTTTTTTACAAGTGAATGAGTATCACAGAAGGACGACAAGATCAGTCCTGAGCCTGCCTTGGCTTTGTTCAGCTGTGATGGACCAGAGCCTGCATTCAGTGTAACACCTCCACAACCAAAACTCAGCGCTAAGTTCTTCATCATCAAATGTTTAAAATAACAGCTGGTTTTTGAAAGGTTTGCACGCTGAACGAACCTCAGACATATGCTTATATTTTCATATATTTTCCAGGCAGGCTGGAGAAGAGGCAGAGAGGAAAGAAGCGAGGCTTGGCTTGAAGGATTTTTTTCTTTTTTTGGCTGCTGTTGAAGACAAGTTTAAGGGAGAAAGCCGAGGGACCAGGCAGTGCCAGCAATATCCTAACCTACGTGAGTGAAACCCGGGGCACGGAGCAGGGCACTGCCCTCCTGAGCAGGGACCTGGGGGTCCCCAAGGCCGCCAAGGGCAGCTCTGCGGGAACGCCTGCCTTAGCGGGAACCCCAGGGGCAACAAAGGGCTGTAAACCTGCAAAAGCTCCCCTTCCAGCCATACAGTAAATTTCAGCATGCTCAAAAGGTAGAGATATGGCTAAATTCCAGTTTTAAAAGAAATTAAGACTGCTTTCCAAGGCACTGAGGCAGCCAGATCCTATCAGTTCTCCCTACGTTTTGAATAACTCCCCTGGCTTCTCTCCGGCAGGAACAGCTTGGTGTGCTGCGTTGCACTGCTGTAGTTTTGAACCGGGGTCTCAACCCACAGGCACAGAAAATTAGTTTTTAAAAGATGAATAAAAAAAGTCATAATTCTAACACTATGGCTAAGAGATTAATCTGACAGAGGGGAAAAAAAAAAAAAAAAAGAAGCCATTTTAATTATTTGGCTTAATCGGCCCAGACAGGTGAACTATAACTCTGCATTAGCCTGTGATATGAAAACCAAGGCACACGTGGGTGCCGTGGGGCACCCTTGGGCGCAGAGTGCCGGCTTGTGCCGGGCAGGGAGAAGGAAGCATCTCCCAAGGGGCAGCCCTACAGCACTGCCACCATCTCCCGCTTCTCTTGCCCCGCCAAATTTCATCAGGAATACTTACACAATCCAAAAAGATTTGATCAATAGGTTTTAGCACAGGTACTGCACATTCAGTTTCTTTGTGCAAGTAATATCGGTGAGGCCTAGCTCTGCGCCCTTAATAACTTGCCTCTGCTCCTACATGTTTAGTCTGCCATAAATGGATAACTGGAGACACACATTCAAACTGTTGTACCCTGAGGGGTAAAGCCTGTCCCTCCTTCCTTTCTTTCCCCATTCTCAGTCCATCCTCCTCAGGCCCAAAGCACCTCCAGCTGTGGAAGAGGACAGCCGCCGCTGTAGCATGGAGGAGTTGACTGGCGAGATGCAAGCAGCAAGGAATGGGGGGAACATTGCTTTCCACGGCAGGGTCCATCCTCTGGTATTTCTCTACCTCCCACCCCCCACTAACTTGTTAAGGAAATTGGAAAAGGTCGTCCCAGCCTGGTGGCTGCATCCCAGTGGTGACAGCCATGTTTACTGGTTGAAGCATCTTATAGTCTAATATTGCCACTGTGGAGGCATTCCTCTGGTATCACACCTGCACAACTTCAATTTACTTATGCAATTAAAATAGGCTAAAAATAGGGTTCAAAACAGGAGGCAAGACAGACAGAGACTTGTTCTGGCTCAGGGAAGAATTTCACTGAATTATAACAAACTGAATTCCCCAAAGGCAACGCGCTCGCATTTCTGATAGATTCAACCTCAGCAGAAAAAGGGTGTAAAGGAAGCTCAGCAACAAAATTGCTGGCAAAAATCCCATTGTCTTCAGTGACTTGTTATTTCAATGTTGAAATTTTATTATGCAATATTTTTTAAAAGAGGCATTGGGTTAGAAATATGCTCTTTGGTGGGTTTTTTTCCCCCAAAAGGGAAAGGAACAACTGTTTTAAACTTTACTCTCTCCTTACTTCATTAAAAAAAAATAATGATCAAAGTAAAGCATTAGGAGAGACCTACCGGAGAGTATTTAAAAATACTTGGTGTTTGCACAGTATCATTTTTGTCATTAGTCACCATGAGTTCAGAACTAAATAGTAAAACAACCTATAAATAGTATTCAGTTTCAGCAATAATTTGTCAGATGTTTGCTACATTAGGAAAAGGTTTAAGTCACAGCTTTTTGATCTACTGAGGGAGCGTTATCAAACCACTGTATACAAGAATACTATGTCAAATGCATATTATTTACACATAGCACGCCAGCAAGAGGATGGAGGAGCTCAGTCATCCCAAATCACCCAGTATCACTCCGGAGTACTTTACTGTCAAGTGTTGTTCTTAGCAAGAGGTAGGCACTAATCTTATCTATGCGGTGATGCAGTACGGGACTGATGAAAACGTGGTTCATGCAAAATGGGATTCAGCATGTGGGGAAAAGGATTACATTGTAAACCGGAAGGCAAGCTCTGTCCTGTTGGGTACTGCAGCACGCTGGCTGTGGGTGCAGCACGGGATTTGCTGGAGATCAGCTCTGCAGAAGAGTGCAGGTCAGCAGTACATCCTCGTGGCGACATGGCTGGTTACATGTGAGGTTAGGTAAGAATGAGCCAGCAGATCAAGGGAAGTATTTTTTCCCTGCTACCCCTCATTCAAAAGCCACACCTGGAACAGTGTCTGGCTGTGTTTCCCCCCAACCAGGAGAGAGGGAGCTCAGTGCAGAGCTACTGCGATGGTCGAGAGCTGGAGTACACGGTGCACGAGGAGCAGCAGAAGGAGCTGAGCATTCTCAGGCTGCAAAAGTGCAGGCTTTTTGGTGATCAGCCTCTAAGAGGAAGGTGACCTGGATGATGGAGGGAACAGTTGGGTGCTCTGCTTCCTCCATGAACATCTTAAGAGGGTTCCTGGTCTTCCTAAAAGGAGAAACCTCTACTGTGGCGACTCCTCTGATGAGAATGTCGAATCTCTGTCCTTGCAGATGCTCAAAACTCCCCTGGACAAGATCAGTTCTGTCCAGTGCCTGATATGACTTAGATGTTGGTCTTGCTGCAGCAACGGTTGGACTAGAGACCTCCAGAGGTCCCATCCGACTTGAATGAGGCCATGAAACTAGAAATCACATAGGGTAATCCAAACAAAATTCCTTAGTTGCCTGGATCGGAGATGGTAAAAGCTGGCACCAGTGGCACCAGCATTTCCAGAGGGTAACTAAGCTGGGAAATACAACATTTGTGAGAGCAGGAAGGCCTGAGATTAAAGGACGCCCTTGCACCCCACCCTCCCATCGAGGCATGAACCAGAGGGATGGGAAACTATGAGGCCTCCCCTTGCCCTCCATCCGAGCACACCTCCTGTGGTTGCTGCCTGAGGACAGATGTTCAACACAGTGGCATCCCAGCAATGTGCGTCAGGTAAGTTTGCTTCTCACTGGGTTGTGGGAAGAGAAGCCTTTAGAGATTCCATAGTGTAACATCTTGGCTGTGTGCAGTTTCCTTTCCTTTCTGTCCTGTGTCTTCAAAAGCCTCTGTGAGCTCTGTTGGAATTCCATAAGTAAAATACTTTTTGTTTGCTTTAACCTTAGCCTGGCATGGATTAAAGTGAGCCTCACAATCTTTAAAATCAAGACAGCATGTAAAATCACATCTATGTGCTTCTCCTAATGTGTTCAAAAAGTTATGAACTGCATCCCTACCTAACTGCTCGGGGGGGTGAGGCACTGGTAATGTGGCGGTGTATATGTGGAAGAGACTGGTTTCCAGCAAAGGACATAATGCAGAAAGGTGCAAGGGTGTCCTTGCAGGAGGGCTGACACACCAGCAAGCGGTGCACCTCAACCTCGAAGGTCTGAGGACCTGCACCATTTTTCGTAACAATTTGTGATAGTTCAGCGAGAACTGGGAGTGGGGGAGAAATCAGCTCGTATTTTTCATTTTAGTACACCCAGCACACACATCAGCTTTTCACAGCAGTACGTTTGCGAGAGCAAGCTTGCTGTTGGAGATGGGGAAAGGTCACTTTTGAGTCACATCGAAATATTAGTTGCATTTTACTACGCTATAATTTGAAGGAAAGTATTGTACAAGTCTACATTCAAAGGGCATGGTTCAAATCCTGTTTCTTCTCTCACAAGTTGCATCAAAAAAAAATTTGTTTGAGATGCCCAGAAAAGGAAGAAAAAAAAAAAAAGACTGTGACGTATTTAATGTTTTAAACACAGAACAACAAAGCCACAAGCTAGAATTAAACAAGTTCAAATTAATTTTCATTGGTCCTTTTTACACCTCCTGAAATCACACCTGGCCAGCTTCCCAGCTTGATCTGGGAGACACTAACAAAAGACTAAATCTAACATATATAATTAGGTCTTTGTAGTTAAGTACTGTATAGCTCATTGTTTGTTTACATGAAAGAGAAAATTTCACAGTCTCTTACGGTGGAGTTAAAATGAGATAGTCAAAGTTAAAATGTTTTGGACTTGCTTTAGAAGCACTTTGCTGTTCTCAAATAAGCATCACAGAAGAGTCGCCACAGTAGAGGCTTCTCCTTTTAGACCAGGAACCCTGTTAAGATATTCATGGAGGAAGCACAGCACCTAACTCTGTTCCCTCCATCGTCCAAGTCACCTTCCTCTTAGAGGATGATCACCACTGCTCCCACTACTATTACAAAGTCTTGTCCCAGACCTTTGCTCTTCTGAGTTAGGACTTTCTCACATTTTGCAACCAAGGTTTACTTGCGGCCAATATTACTCCTGTGTTTTTCCTGACACCACTCTGGGAGTTACATAGCTGTTTATTCACTGAAGTTCGCAGGCAGTAATCTTGCCTCCCCTTACTTTACTAAAGGAAAGAACTAACCTTTGTATTTTCTAATGCATTCATTCCTGATTCAAACCCCAACACCACCAGCTTTCATCAGTTTGTTGAAACTTTTTGTCATGGGGTTTACTTTGAGCTCCAGCTGCTGGAGGAAAAAATAAAGTCTAACCAATTAAGCGATGTTTTCCTACTGATGCTAGTTACAAAGAAAAACTTGTAAGTATGGCTCAGGGGAACTCTGGCATCTCAAAAATCAGAAGACAAATAATAAATTTTTAACAAGACCTACAAAGCTTGCTGTATATTATTTTAGTGCTGTTCGAGGGGTCTGTCTCAGGAGTTTGGTAATATTGCAGTAAGTGCATGATTTTGAGGATTACTGTGGGTTTCAGTGTTTTCTTTCAGGTGGTTGTTAAAAGTTAACAATTGCATGGTTTGATGAACACAGGACTCGCTGGGTCTTTTTTGTCTATTTAGTTTTCCTTCCACCTTCCCAAGACCATCTCTATTTGTCTTTACGAGTTGTCTGAGCAGAACCATCTGTCAAATATAGCAGCAGGGGCACAGAGAAGATCCTTGTCCTGTCTCGCTCAACCTGCCTTGGTCAACAAGGGCACTGCTTCAGGCTTACCAAGCCTATGACTACTTCCAATTTGTTCCCAAGAAAGCAGTCAGCCACCACCACAACTTCTCATGCGATGCCATCCATCTCATCTCAAGCAATGGCTCTGACTTTCTTAGGGACAGCTGGGGATAACGGTATATCAGGTGAACTGTTCTTCAATGCAGACAGCTTCCAGCCATCCTCCTACTCCATGACTTCCTCAAACTTCCCCACTCTATGAATGGATGTGCCCCCGTCCTTGTACAGTCAGAAGCCCCCAGGGTCTGGAGTGTACTGCTGCGACCAAACAAGTCACATCTGGCTTATACCCTGCTCCTGGCAGGCCCCAGGAAAACTGACAAGCTGTCCTGAATAATTGCTGAGGCACCTTTGTTCCAGGAGACCTGCTATCAATCTCATTTATTGACATAGTGCTGCATTGTAGGACTGTAAAAGCAGAAGAATGAAAATCGCTTGGATGGAGTTACCTGAAATATGCTGTTCAGCTTATTTCTGTACTCCTGTTGACTGCATGAATGTATTGCAGAGGCAGCAGTATCAATTTTATGCCATCACCATCCTGTTTGCACTAGATGCCCCAAATATATTGTCTCCTTTCTTTGTTTCCCCACTCACAACCATTTCAAGTCTCTCTTACCTCATAGCAGCATTATTAGTAATGATTTGCAAAACCCTGACTATGCCAAAAGCAAAAGCAGAATTCTTATCATTTTCACCAACATTATGTATTGTCAAATAGTGGGGGGTGATGACACCTCAAGTGGACAAATTTTAGGTGTAGTTACATTGCATGTCTTACTCAATACTGGTGTAAAAATCCCACATTCTTCTCTTGTGCGTGCGAGTGTTCCCTCCTCCCCACCCGTGACTGCCGGCATAAACCACAGCAAGGCACAAACACCTGCAATTTTTATCTTACTTCATGTAATAGAATGTCTCCTGAGCCATGCAATTGCTCGCACGCATGTAAGGCCCAGTGGAATACACAACGTCGAAACTGAAGTACGGGCATGCCTCTGCAGGCTCGATGCCCTGTGAAATTTGCTGCAGCTACGACATGCTTTTCAAGCACGGACATCTGAAGAACTGCAGTATGCTGGTAGCCTGCTTGGAAGAAACACTGATTACATATAACCAAAGCCAGGACAAGAGAGGACACAACAGCTCTGGCTAAAGCAGGCTGCTGAGAAAGCAAGAGTGGCGCTGGAGCAGGAGGTCGATGGCGATCCACGTGGGCCCAGACACTCAGCATCTCTTGGGATCAGGCCCATGGCAAGCGTGACATAATTAGAATGAATATTTATAGTTTATCAATAAAACAGATGAAATGGAATGAGGATTAGAAGATCCCTTCTAATCCTTTTCTCAAATAAGTTTTTTTTAAGATGTAAAACTCTTATATGGTTTATAACATTCAGAATGAAAGACAGTCATTTCTGATTAAGTCCTATTACTACACTAAAAATTAACTTAGTCATGATGATTTTTTTGGTACTAAAAAGATACAAAAATGCAAATCCAGAGGGATTCTTCATCTGCTTAGTATTAATGTCCATCTGTGAAATCAAATAAGTTTAAATTGAGTTAAGGGTCATTCTTTCAAGAAAGCAAATCCCCATTTTGGGAAGAAGTGTTTATTTTTCAGTAGGGCAAAAAACTGTTATAACTCTCCTGGCTAGTGCAGCTGTCATTTCAGATGAAAAAACTATCACCTGAACAGCCACCTTCAAAGAAAGAAAGGCTGCACATGAAAACAACTACGTTAAAGATCTTAACATTAAAAACATGTATTTTTTGAAGTTTGTTAAATTTGATTAAACTAACCATGATTATAACATCTTTGGCAGCAAGACAAAGCTTAAATTGCAATGTTAACATGAACTTCCATTTTCACACTGGCCAGCATCTGCTATAAAACCAAAAAGTATTTTCTAGTGAGAGTCCAACTTGCAGCACGATCTTCTATATAGAGTTTAAATGTTCTTGTGCATTGCTCAGCAGCAGTGAGGCTAAGGCAAGAACAGGGAGAGAAAGAAAATACTACAGCTTGCTCATCCACAGTTCATCTTGTGACTTTATCAGGAATACCAGTAAGTGGTATTAGTTTTCAAGTTTGTTGTCGAGAAAACAAAGTCAACACCATCCCTTGGTGGCTGATTGGTCTCTTAGCCTTTTTTTTTTTTGTGTGTGTTTACTAAGCAACAAGTTACAAATTAAGCTTAGCTAATTTTAGCCGAGGTGAGTCATACAGATCCCCATGAACCAGCCAAATTCAACATTCAACTGTGTTCTTTGCTTCTTGTGGGCTCTGGATGGAAAGTGATGGTGATCCAAATGGCTATTAAAAAAAAAAAGTCTTCATTTTATGGCTGAGCTGAGGGCCCCATATTTGCTTCTTTTGTCTGCCTATTCCATGCCATTGGTTTGAACAGCCACATAAATAAATGCTTTACACACACACATTCACACAAGGTCTTTTATTGAGGCCCAGAAAAGCCTTACGTGAAACGCTCAGGTTTGAGGGAAGGGTGTGATGCTGCAGAAACTTCCACCATCAGACTAGTTTCGTGCCACAGCCCTCAAAGG